TTTACCTATATTTCCCTCAATAAAACCTGACCTGACCTGACCTGAACTAATTGAACGAATCTGAAATTCCCTGATTCTTGAATATACGAGTGTAAATTGTGCACTTTTTAAAATTGTTTTCATCTCTCTAAATAATGAATCTCAGTAGGGCACTAGTAATACCCCGCCATTTTGGAAAATGCGGTCATCGTTTTCTGTCAGCCTTAGTAGTGGCTGAACACGACAATTCAAAGATATCAAGTGCCACACTGTCAGCCATTTCAGCAGCCTCATTAATTGGAGACGTTAGCTGCCTCGTTGCTGGAAAAAAATGTGGTCCGATTGCAGAATATGTGTCCTCTTTAGCGGGCGTTAAAAAAGTTATGCTTGCTGAGAACGCCGTATTTGAGGTAGTTTATGTTGTCATTGTAATGTACTTGTATCGTCCCATATTTAATTACTTTTAACATATTTGCTGACGACGAGCTGGGAAACCTGGTTATCTTGGTTTAATGACCACAGTCTGGAATATTAGCGCATAGCGTTATTCCTTTCTTCTGCCTCTAAGTAAATTCTGTGGGCATCGGTGCCCTGTTTTCAGTAGCTGTATATGTGAAGGAATCGGCCTACATAAGGTTATTATAATAACCTTAGACCAATGCATTTTATGTTTGTAAACCTCTTATACGATTTAGGTTACTGCGAATTAGGTCAGTACATGCGTTTAAGCGCATTATGCGCATTATTGGCCCACGCATTTATCCGACTTAATATCTACCGTGCGATTTTGAGAGTACTGTTTGTGCCGATCCGTCTATTGACGAAATGTGCTGTTTTTAAGTTGATGGTTTACCTTGTTTTTTTTTAGCATCCCATTGCGGAGAACTACAGCCAACTTGTACTGGCCTGCCAGTCATCTTTTGCTGCAACCCACATTATTGCAGGAACATCGGCATTTTCACGCAGTTTTATGCCTAGGGTGGCTGTAACTCTTAACAGTTCACTCATCAGCGACGTGCTTGCTGTTCTGAGTCCCGATACGTTCCAACGACCGATCTATGCAGGCAATGCGCTTGTGACCTTGCAGTCCTTGGTAAGTTCTCCTCCAATTCGGCTGTGGTCTATCGCTTCATTTTTCTGCTTAGCTATCGAAATTACAATGTTTCTTGTCCCTGTGTTTGCATTTATTTGTGCCTTCTCTGTCTGATCTATCTTACACCGCCTTTTATGAAGATATTATGTTTCTCAAAATGAAATGCATACATATGTTCGCCCCGGAGTTAGGCGTCGTCAAAATTTCCCGACTTTTATTTGAGACTTTTTTTACAAAAACCAATATTGCCATGTTTGATATTGTGCTTCAACCTCTTATTTTAATTTCCTCAAATGCATGTTAATCTAAAAAATACAAAATGAGGTTAATTTCTTTATGCAGTCCACATTCGTAATTTGTATAAACCTGTAGTTCGTAAACTAGAGTAGTGTCTTAGCCTTAGTTTTGTTCATGGTCATCTTGTTGGATTTGGTTATTTCAGTTAGCGGCATCTTTAGTTTCTTTAGTAATGATCGTAAATTCGAAGGAGAAAATGATGGGTAGCGCCACATACCCACTAGGAACTAGCCTACGAACCTCAAATTTCGAGTCCTCTAGAGACAATGCGCGTTCATTTACTGTGGACGTCTTTTAATAAAGTTCTTATTCATTCCCTAAACTCTTGTTGTTCTCTTTCTGCCTCTCGGGATTTCATCTGCCTATTATCTTTTTAAGGATAAAGAGGTCGATTCTCCATTAACTTCATAATAATGACATATTTCTGGGAAGGTATATAAGTTTTCCGACATTTCAAAGTTCGATGTTGGATTTTCGTCCCTAAGATTAAAGGAGTTCTGCGTATAGCTCTTTTTGTGGCGTGCTGTTCTCGACGCGTAGATCGTCACTGTTACCTTGAGGTACCTTTCACCTCCGTGATTTGCCTTGACAAATATGAATGGCCTCAGCGGCCTCACACTCTGGTGACATTTTTATGTGGACCCACAAAACTGCGTAGTGTATGGGTGTTTTGACGAGTCGATTGACTGAATCGCGAGCTAGTAGATGGCCTTCTTTTGACTGACCACTTGAGTCTGGTCTGTGAACCACCCATATTTTCAGTCGCAGGAGTGATCAACTCGGGTCTTTTGCAACACTTTTCGCTCGTGTAATGCTCTGTTATGACCTAGGCTAATTGGCTTACTTATATTGGCTCTTTGTGCATCACTTAGCGAAAGATTGGAAGTGGCTGTTAATTTACAACACCCCCTGATTGTTGTATCTCTTTGCGCGTGGTGCCTGTCTGCATGGGCTGTTCGTGTTCCAGTTTTATTGCAGCGTGTTGGTTACTTTGCGATAGCACCGTTTGGGGGCTGATCCTTCAGCACAAAAAGTACTGATAGAGCAATACTTTTAGAAAACAGTTGAGAACGTTATGTCTCATGATTCGATTTTCAGAGGTGTAGGTTTAAACGGTGACTAAACACGATTACATTAATTATCTTTTGTTACGCCTTGTTCTTATTTCACCACTAAATGGACATTTTTGCAGGATGTCTCCATATATTTCCCAGTTACCAATCAAGGCAGTTCTGATTAGCGTTATTGTAGTCTTTGCGGTGAAATATTCACATTTATTATCTAATATTGTCCCTTTGTGGCTCAATTGCTTCTCTAATCAGGACGTAGTCGATCTGTACAACTCTTTCAGCTGTCGTCTCTCAAAAAGATGTACTACTATTTCATTTTTTTACATATTCTAGGATAAAGTTCATTGTCTTACTGTGCGTGAGACATCCTTCGTCCCCGCTGAACCCAGCAACAACAAGGCTGTCATCGAAGCCGTTGATTATGTCATCGAAGAGTGTAACAAGGTTAAATTTATAAAACAAACTATCGCCAAGAAGGACCGACCAGGACTGAACGAGGCCAAAATCATTATCAGCGGCGGACGTGCTCTCAAGAGTAAGGAGAATTTTCAGGTGACTACGTTTTCGTTGTTAATAGTTATAGCATCCCCTTCTTTTCCGTCCTCAAATGTGATTGCGCACCTCATAACTATGACTTGAATCCGGCTGCAGTTACGAGTCACGCTGATTGTGTTTCACCCAGTGTCATTGTGGCACCCAAAGTGCATGATATAAGTCAAGAAGATTAGCACAAACACATAGCGGGTGGGTTTCGTCATACCATCTGCTCGCCTGCCCACGGTCTAGTTGAAGTTCAAGTTACGACAATTAATGGAGAGAGGGCCTTTTTGAATGCTCAGTAGCATTTTTTATGTGATTTAAGTGTGCATGGCTTGTAAAATCTGTGGCCAGTCCGACTGGAGCATATAAAACTTGCTACTCAGCGTTTACCGAAGGTCTTTCCGCTGTCCAACATATCCGGACGTGCGCGGCTGCCTGAAACTTAGCTGACGCGCAGACACTATGTTAGGGTCCCTGTTGCCTCCGGCCAACTTAGGAATAAGTGAAGTCGTAGTCTCCTCTCCCACGCATTCTCGTTGATATGCCTTATTTTTGTCTTGTAGAGGTTTGCTTCATTTTGTCCGCAACATCTAGGTGACTTGGGAGCACGGGCTATTTTGATTGCGGAGGCCATTACCATGCTAGACCTGTGCATTCTTGCCACGGAAGTATTTAAGGAGAATCAGTACTCTCATCTTCTACGTAAAATCACCTGGCCAACTACTACCCAAACAATGTTTTTTTTAAATTAACAGTGATTCTCGTAGCTTAAAGAATTTTCAGTTGGACAAACATTCCGGTGATGCTCTCTCTAATTTGCATTTCCTACGTGTCATTTAAACATGTTCAGACTTATGCACAATCTAGCATGAGACCTGAGTAAACGAAAACTTCCCAAGGGGAGTAGCGACTTTAATTCACATTGGGGATTTACGTTATGATTTTCATGACTGTATTCGCTACTACAGCTCAAATGTAATTCCTTATCCATTCGCCTATTTTCCTTGACACAGTGAACCTAGACGTCCTGCGTGTATTTATATTCAATCTTGGTGAAATACCATCTATGTAAACCCGATGGTCGTTGTCTTGAATATGACACGCTTCACTCTCTTCTCTTTTTACCAGCATACACTTTTCCGGTCTGGTTTTAGCGTAGGTTTTCAAAACCAAGTTAACTAAATGTTATACTACACCACTATTTAATATTACAGTGTGTTTTGTACACGCTGATCCCGCCTCTCGCTATTGTTGCAACTGGACGCGGTCGCTATTCGAATTATCATCGACTATTCTGATAGGTTTATAGTACTACCTCCCATTCCATACTGTGAAGCCAAGTTAAATAAGACCTTAGACCGTAGCGTCTAAGCCGTGTTTGTACTCGAACCAGTACAACTGTCAGGCCACATCCCAAGCTGTAGATAAAGGGCAGAAAACACTTGTTGGAGAGGTTTATTGTGCACAGAACTCTCCATTGCCGTCTCAGGCGGCAGCGGCCACTGGCAAAGCCAGAGCTAGTAGTAACTGCCTCCAGCCAGGCCCGAGTTTTTGTGTGGGAGGGGGGAGAGAAGGAGGTGGCACCTGCTTTTATTTGATTGTGGACCAAGTTCGAGTGGCGTACGGTTGGTGTTTTGCGTTGCCCAAGGCATACTACCGCTCCACCACTGCGCGGGTTTTAGTCCACAACAACCTCCTAGAACCCTTTGCTATTCGGTCAGGCGTTTGGCAAGGCTGTGTCCTGTCACCCCTCCTCTTTACCTGCGTCATTGACTGGGTTCTCGGGAAGGCCCTACAAGAAAATGACGGTATAAAGCTTGCACCCGGACGCCAGTTGACTGATCTTGACTATGCCGATGCTATCGCTTTACTAGCATCCAGCTTTGGCGATCTCCAGTCTATGGTGTCACGGGGGAATGAGGTCGCGAAATCGGTCAGTTTGTCCATAAACGCTCGGAAGACCAAAGTCTTTTCATGCTGCGTCCCTGCCGAAGAGAAGGCACCTCTCGAGATTAGTGGCTGTCAACTTGAAGAAGTCGACATTTTCAAATACCTGGGAACGAGGTTGCTGCCGAATGGCCAAAGTAAGGATGACG